AACAACAACTTCTTTGGAGTCTTTAAGATATATTCAATCATGACTTGAAACGAGCTTGTAGTGCTTATGAAATGTAACAGACAAAACCAACCTTGTGAAAAATATTGTTTATGAAAACAAGTGTTCCAGAATTGTTTGTGTTCGATTATGAGAAAACATGATCGATTACTTAGTCGTTTAGTCACTGCGACCAATCTTCGATTATTTCAATTAATCGGACCACCACTACCTCAAACATAAAAATGCTTCAATTACTGCCTGTCAAACATTAAACTATGTTGTCACACTCCTTACCATAAGATAGTCAAACATTTAGACCTGGTCACAACACATTTTGTCAAACATTCGCAACTGTGATGACTCCATTTGTCAAACATCAGATCAACTTCAGTTAAAATTGTCAAACATTCACAACTGTTCATGACACAATTAGTCAAACATTGAATCATACTTTATTTATGTCATACTCTGAACCTGGTCATGTCAAACTTGTCAAACATTTGACCAGACCATGTAATAAGTGGCTGGAGTGCACACAGGTCAACCAAACAGCAGGGAGTTATAATCTAGTTAGTTGGATCAATACAATGGTTAATCCTAGCCAAACCTTTCTACAATCGTAAAACAAACCAGATGTATACAATGTTATTATCATGTAGATCAACAGGGACACCTGTCCACATTCTCAGACTTTTCCAAATGAAGATTTACATTGATAAGAAGGAGGCTGATAAGTGTTAATGCCCTTTTAGTAATATATTTGACAGGGCAATCTGAAAAGACTACAGCAGGCAAATAAACCCCTATGTTGGCACACCAGGGTGCCCGATCTCAGCTGAACACTGCTGTTTCAATCAGACCACACAAAATCAATAGTTTGTACATGCAAGTCTATTTTACATTTAAATATCTCATTATTTCTCCAGTCAGTTTACAAGAAATGTACATCTGCTAAGAATAAATATCAAAAGCTCAGACTTCAAATACAAATGTCACATCGCCCCCATTTTCTGTTCTTCACACCCTCAATATCTTGAGAATAAATTATCAATTTGCCTTATAAGAAAGATAGTTACTGCAAAGAAATAAAGCAATATCTTGTTAACTCGAACTCCGTTATTAACCCATAATTCTGTCATCCAAAGTTAAAGACTATCAAAGTCTTAATATCAGAACAAGTGAACGACAGGCCGGTTAAGTTAAACAATCACATTGAGGTGAGGGAAATGGAGTCTTCAAGTTCGGGGCAGGGCCACTTGACACTGGAGAAAATCTTCATTTGAAAAAGATGACAGTCTTGTCAGCTAGGGCAATCAGTAGGCTTGGTTCACAATCCAGATGTTCAATGGTGAATAAAAATGGGTACTCCACAGGTACAAGGGTTTAGAATAAGGAGAAAACAAGCCTTAGTGGTCAGGCTCTGTCAAGATCTGTGATTTTTCTGTGCTTGAAATTTTTGACTTATATCAGGTCATCACTGCTTGATGTGAAAGCAGAAAACTACTGGTATGTGATGATGGTCCTTGGTGCTTAACCCTTTACTGAACCCACAAGGAAGCACATGGGGCTGATACTCAAAGAATCAGACTTAGAGCAGATCTGGGGTCCAAACCCACTCAGAGGATCCTTGCACATCTCAGGGAGGTAACTCTGTATGACATTACTGGGTTGTTAAGCATCAGGCAAGCCATGCTGTAGAACCAATCCCAAAACAGTAGGAAAATATTTTGACCTGCTTCCATTGACAAAAATGCTCTTTCCAGGGTTTAAAAAAATATTGCCCCAAAACACAAATGACCAAATACAACATCCGGATGGTTTCTGACTGGCACTGCCTCTTTCCCTTGCTTGATGGACTGAAACATCTACTGATGCATCAGATAGGTAGGACACGGTTACAGGAATATTTTGATTACCATAGGAATGAGTTGAACACTTCTCAGAGACTGCTCACTTACAGCTTAACTCACCAAAATACCATCTCTAATTGACTCACCTGATTTTGATTACTCTCGTCAAGGTAAGCAGGGGTGGAAATAACCTATTGCCCGACGCCCGAGTCCAGTGTTATTTCTGTCGGGCAAGCAAATTTGTATATCACACTGTACCGGTGTCCAGTTGATATTCCAATGTTAATTATGGTGTTTATTTAAAAAATCAAAAGAAAACGACCGGTATAGTGGAAAAATTATCAAGGCAAGTGATTTTACATGTGCCACTGTACCGGAGTACACTAGCAATTTTAAAGTTATTTCCACCCCTGGTAAGAGTGAGAGCAAACACTAAATACTATATTCGCAATGAACTAACCCTTAGAAAAATTTTGATTGGAAAAAAATCATACTTGATATAGATTGCATTATGAATACTGAAAGTAAGACACGTTTTTTTTCATTTTAAAGGCTTTGTACATAAAAGTTTCTTCATTATAAGCCTCTGCATACAATAATTCCTCTTTACTTGACTTCAGTTAAAGAAAGTGTTAGACATCGGAACCTGATTACAGAAGTCAGCCATTATAGTTGTTTGGAACTACTTCACATGATCGGGAATAACACAGATTTATCAAACCTTTCATGAACATGATTACATGTTGTTATAATAATTTATTAATCATAATTTTCATACACAGAAATACACAGTTATATTGGACCATATGCAGAGTAAAAGCACTTTGATATGTGGTTCAACTACCCTGGTAGTACTTGCATCAGGGTCTAACTCAGTAATCTCAACAAGCATATAATTCTCTCCTCGGAATAAATAGCATAATTCACGACAGGATGGCTACGAAGCAGCGTCTCCATCTAACTTGAAGCACAATGCAACATTTGGAATCCATAGGCAGTCATATCAACATTTTGTTTCAAGGAACAATCTACTGCTAAGTCATATGATACAGTTTTGTGATATTTCTCAGTCTTTTGGGTCTTTGGTCAAATGTTTATCGTATCTGCTGCAATGTGTAGAATTTCTTGTTGGTCTGATAACATAAAGAATGAGACACATATGTAGGCAGGAATCAGCGGGGCAGGGAGTGAGTTTGGTATTACACCCTTCAACCAATATTCCAGTAATGTTCCAGAAATGTTCCTTGAACTAATTCTTCAGATTGTTGACCTCTTCATATGAACTGAGATATTTTTCAATGCAAGTGAAAGGTTTCTGAAACATTCTACTTACTTATCCTCTTATATACAGAGAAAAATGATCAGTCACAGGATACACGATCTCATACTACTGTAGAGTGAGTGAGTGAGTTTAGTTTACGCCGCTTTTAGCAATATTCCAGCTATATCACGACGAGGGACACCAGAAATGGGCTTCACATATTGTACCCATGTGGGGAATCGAACCCGGGTCTTTGGCATGACGAACGAACGCTTTAACCACTACGCTACCCCACCGTCCCCATACTATTGTAGATAGTTTCTTAAGTTTTAAAAACAGACAATATTCAGCTACAGGTATTCACAAAGAAACTCCTTGGGAGTGAAATGGAGCAAGCCTTCTCCTCCCACTGTGTGCAGTTTAATAACAGACTCATCCAGAAAATTTGGAATTCATATTTTCTAAGGAATAAAATTTGGATGCACTTGTTTAAAAAACATATTGTCCATATCACTAACCATAGAGAAGTATTTTCAAGAAAATATTTTGCCAATGCACCTAATGTAATAATGTAAAACTATATATTACAGAATTCCCCCTTGTTGGTCTGGTCATCAGAGAAAGACGAGTCACCTTACAAAGCCGTAACATCCACTTTGATTACATTCCATTAATGGAGCTCTTTTGTTTCAGTTTAGGTATCAATACTAATATTTGCTGCACATATTGAATGCATGCCTTAATTGATTCCTATAACATATGTTCATTGTGGGATTAGCTGTTCCATACTATCACACTACGCTCCTGTTCGTATTGCCATAAAGAGATAAGAAATAACCATATTCACATCCAACCATCTAACACCTGCCCACATAATGTCTCAAGTGTCAAGGGAGATAACTCCTATTTTCCCAGCCATGGTGGGGAAGAGAGTTCACAAACTGTGGCACTGTGGAATGTTGGCTCAAATGATCACCAAATGTACATTTTCACAGTTTGAAAGAATCACAAAGCAAACTTAATCTGACAAAGCAATAACTGCCATGCTCTTGAATTCATTTATAATTTAAGAAAATTAAATGGAATAAGTTGCTGCTAAACAGACACAATTAGTCAACATGATCTGATATCTACAATATAGTAACACTCCGGAAGCACAGGTGGATTCTGGGTAAGAGAAGGGTCAGGCAGCCATGTTGGGGGGTCATCTCAAACATTAAAACAGCAGATGTCTACATTCTAACATGGTGGTAGCAAACATCCTTCTTCAAGGTTCAATCCGATGTGGAAGGTAAAATGGTTCAATATAGAGGTTGATGGAATACAGGGGTTGAACTAAATATTGTTTGGAAATGACTGTTCCAGTCCAATGATAATGAAGTTCCACATACTCTGAGGAAAGATAAACTGATCAACATTCCAGGGCTATTCCTAATCACATAAACACTGCTTATACTTCAACAGTTTTCTGAGATACACATTATTTCAAACACTATGCTATGTAGTCGATTCTCCATTCATCAGAGAACAGTCTTACAAGAGCTCAGCGATGGTATTCTGAGCTATTCTGGGTTAAAGTGATGATGTGATTAGAAAATAATGCTGTTATGGTTTAGCATAATTTCAGTCTCAATGAAAGGAAGAGAACAAAAGAGTCAGAAACATAACTGTTTGATTATTAGTCAGTAAAATGAACTTCCTCAACATCGGTAGTAGATATGATACTATGTAGCTTATCATGACTGACTGACTGACGGAGTTTGGTTTTACGCCGCTTTTAGCAATATTCCAGCAACATCACGGCGGGGAACACCAGAAATGGGCTTCACACATTGTACCCATGTGGGGATTCGAACCCGGGTCTTCGGCGTGACGAGCCAACACTTTAACCACTAGGCTACCCCACCGCCCCGTAGCTTATCATGAGGTGAGGAAACACTGAGGATTATCACTAAAGAATCAGTCCTCCAATGTCAGGAAATGTAAGCTCAGCATGACAATGATTTATCTTTTCTTCCAATGAAATGAATCCTAGTAAGCATCAGCGTTATGAGGACACATGTTATTGCACAATGGTTGTGGTTTATATAAAGTCACTGATATCCTGTTTAACAAACATGTCTATCTCCTTCCAAATATTCTGTTTTCCAAAAGGAATGAACCCTCTCTGACAGAACACTTCAGGAAATCAGCAATAGCTTAAACACACCATTCTTACCATGTTGAGTGTAAATATGCATCTGCAACACCAGTTGTCTCCCCTGAAAGTCTTCAAAATAGCCTTCAGGCCCTTCTCTTGCCAGTGCTAATGGAGAGGCTGTCTCAAGGATGATAATTCATTTTTCAAGAATATACAGAGAAACAAGATGCAACCAAACTGATAAATGAAAAAATATCTCCCACAGTTCAAAGAAATGAACATTAAGAGAATTCACATTTTGAGGAAGCCCCTCTCATTAGCTCCTAACCTAAACAACCATATACAGGCAAACATCTGATAAAAGTCAGTTTTCAATTGGGATGTGGTTTGCTGGATCCATTCAGCAGCTGACAACAATAAAATCTAGTTTCCTGCATTTCCACATAAAGGCAGGATAAAATTGAAAGAAGCAGTTTTGTGCTTTAGCACACTTGGGCTACAACAGCCCTCAAAGAGTGAAAATGTTGAAAAAAAATCTGTTCCTTGCAGTCACTAAAACATCACCACACGACCACAACTGTAAAATTCCTCCAAAGATTCGGACAATCACACAATGTCTCCGGGTAAAAAGCATGCCGGAAAGCACTGGACGATCTGTATGTTCAGCTGGCGAGAGCGTGTGGACCATGCACATGTGTTAGTGTCCTGTCCCACTCCGCCCTTCCCACCTCTCACTGCACGCCTAATGCACTGCGAGTCTGTTTTATCTTCTCCATTCTTTTGTTTAAATGCTTATTCTGATTAGTCAACTCTTCTATTTGGTTTTGGGCTTCTCGTAACTGAAACAGAAAATATGTCACATCAGTGAAATTCTTTCGCTGTGATATGCAGAGTTAGCATATTTTATGCCAGCAGACCTATTTTTAAACATCCTTGATTTTGTTCTCCTTGAACTACAATATATTAACGTTGCTTAAACAACCTTAAACTAGAAGACCTTGGCCTAGAATATTAATATAGGTGAAACAACCTTGACCTTGTTAAGATTGACCAAGAATATTAATGTAGCTTCAACAACCTTGACCTTGTTAAGATTGACCAAGAATATTAATGTAGCTTCAACAACCTTGACCTTGTTAAGATTGACCAAGAATATTAATGTAGCTTCAATGTAGCTTCAACCACCTTGACCTTGTTAAGATTGACCAAGAATATTAATGTAGCTTCAACAACCTTGACCTTGTTAAGATTGACCAAGAATATTAATGTAGCTTCAACAACCTTGACCTTGTTAAGATTGACCAAGAATATTAATGTAGCTTCAACAACCTTGACCTTGTTAAGATTGACCGTAGCTTCAACAACCTTGACCTTGTTAAGATTGACCAAGAATATTAATGTAGCTTCAACAACCTTGACCTTGTTAAGATTGACCTACCTCTCTCATCAGTCTCCTCTTCTCCCCCTTCAACTCGTCCTCCATCCCTTCAGCTCTCTCCGCATCAGACTTGTACCGTTTAACTTGGGACTCCAGTCGGTTCACCTGTCATTGCAAGATCAAGGACCATGTCAGACAGTGAACAGTGCCTGAACACCAACCTAAAGAATTCTAATTGTCACTGCTGCAATGATCACAAAGTACAGCTATATCACAGTTTCCCGTAAATATAACTGTCTGGGCCGATTAGACACTGTAAATCATGAAATTAATGAGTCACGAATTTAATGTGAGTGCAAGGGTCTAATCTAAAATGTGTCACGAAATTAATGCGAGCTCAGGAATCTGTGTTGATGATAAAATGTGACATCCTGAATCTTTGGTGTTGTTCTTTTTCTGTTCACACTGTAATGAGGAAGTGACCTGTATTGGTGTAATGTGTAGTGTCAACAGATTTACGTTTTCTGTCTTTTAATAAGACAGACTGAAATGCGTCATTATAATAATGCGAGAAGAGTACAGATGCATTTTTCGCATTAATAAAATGCTCGCATTAATTTCATGATTTACAGTATCTGGGCACAAGAAACAGTCCATGAGACAGTGAGTAAAGTGACATGTTGTAAAGGTAGTGGCCACTAGCTGGATGAGGCAGCAAGATCACAACCACGATTGTGACGTCATTGTGTTGCAGTAGCTTAGATGATGCTCATGATGTCAGTCAGTCGAGTTCTACCTTGTTTCCTGCCCCAAGGTAAAACCAACACTCTGAATACTGAAATAACCACAGCCTGCATTGGAAGCCTAGACTTGTTCATCAGTATTTCAGAAAGCCTACTGATAATTTCTGAAAAAGTATTACTCCCTTATAAACATCAGCTGTTTTACATGTCACAGAGAGTGGATTACAGTGATAATTATTGAAATCTCGTGACAATCACAATCAGTATTTTACAAAACAAGGTGTCTACTTACACTTCCTTCTAAATTAGCGAGGTCTTGATCTGCTTTCTGTAGCTTGAACTTGTATTCATGGATTTGTCTACTAGATTCCCCTGAAGGAACAAAACAAACAACCCATTAATGAAAACAACACTGTTAGCAACACTGTCATCTAATAAACTGCAAGAAGTTTTACCAAGAAGCCATGTTACTAGTCTGATGAAAGAGTTATCTCCCTTTAATTAGACTCTCATCTCGTAACATAAATTCCAAAATTATAGAAGGGATTTGAGTCCTGGGTATTTATCCTAAAAACCTGGCTTCTACAGGAGATACTGCCTGGGTGAGAGATAGAGAATAATACATGAGGTCTCATTACATACGAATTATACGAAAACGAGTGTCCTTCCTATGGTATCTGACCGAGCGAAAGCGAGGTCAGATAACATAGGAAGGTCACGAGTTTTGTATAATTCGTATGTAATGAGACCGAGTGTGGTATTTTATTTATTACCCATGTCTTACATGCATTAAATTGACAAAATAGCGTATTTTTGTTAATATTTTGATTTCAAACCGAAACCAGTTTCATAAAGAGGTTGCGTAAGAGTTTTGTACTGTGGTACAATATTTGCATGACGTCACACTGTAATGACGTCACTGCTTTGGTAACCGACGTCACGATGCATGTCAGCCTCCTACAGTAAACTACTTCGTAGCACCTCATTTCTTGGTTTCCAGTTGCTTCATTCGGCTAACATCACTGGTGGAAACATTGCGTTTGTGTTTTTTGACGGATATAATGTCTCAGTTCGACTCACAAATAAACAGCGACACGGCAAAGTTCGCAATGTTTACATTCCCACAATGCATTTAAGTTGTAGAATGAATGAATTCACGTGTTTATTATGAATGAAAAAAATAGTTACGTCAATCAAATCAAATCGTTAGAATCTCAGGTAAAGTCGTTACGACACAAGTCAACGCGATACGACACACGTGTGACGTACGAGAATAGTATGCAACTACCCATACGTTGACCACGTGGGTAATAACAAACCATATCTCCCTTGAAACAAAGCCAACATGAATTACATCACAATCATTAGTAGACCATTGTGACATCAGCAGTTACAATGACATCACAATCAAATGACATCCCTTCTCTTTATGTAGCGCCTCCTGTGAGACTTACTCTGCACTTCATACAGCTGTAGTTCCGGCCCGTTCAACGCTGGCACTTTAGTGTCGTCACCACCTTTCTGCTTGCTTGACTGTTCATTGACTTTGCTCTCCAACATCTTAATCTGAAGCACGAAGAGTGAGTGAGTGAGTGAGTGAACGAGTGAGTGAGTGAGTGAGTGAGTTGGGTTAATGCTACTTCTTACAGTATTCCAGTTACAATACAGGGTCTGTTTAATGTCGGATGAAAGCCTGACTTGATGTAGGTCCAAGAAGGTGACCATTGTCAAAACCATTGTGATGCATTGCAAAGTGAGTGAGTTAGTAAGTTACATCACGGTGTGTTGTCCTGCTTTGTCGCAGGTCCAATAAGTTAACCATGGTCCAAACCATTGGGATTCATTACAAAGAACATCTCAAGTAAAACGTTTTTCATAACCAAGATAAAAACAATTTTTTACCAGTTCATAAAATTTAACAGATAGGATTTAGAAACAGAAACACTATGCACTAAAGATTCAACATACAGTAGAACACGGATATAACGAACTCCAAGGGACCAAGAAATTTAGTTCGCTATATCCATTGTTTGTTATTCACATTTGACCGCCATCAGAATTTTTTCCCCCACTACATTTTTCAGATTTAAAGTGAAGAGTTCTGTTTGGTTTCTTAACTTTTCGCTGGACGGGGCCAAAATCAGTAGACACAGATTTTTCAAGAATAGATTCGCGATTCTTAATAATGGAACTGAGAGTTGATTTTGGAATGCCAAAGTCGAAAGCGATGTTTGTCTTAGATTTTACACCTGAATCTACAGCCTGAATTATCTGAAGCTTGGTGTCAAAAGTGATATCTTTACGTTTGCCTGCCATAGTGACGAGAGTGAACGAAGACCTGTATACCAGTCAAGCTTTTAAACACGACATGTTTGTTTTGTTAATTAATTAAAGACCATCAAACAATGTTGATTCGCCGCCAACAAGGTTGATGTATACCGCTAAGTGGCTAAGCTGACACTGAGCTGACACTGAGTGAGTTCGCTAATCACGTCGTTAATTGGGTCTTGGGGGGTAGTAAATCAGTTCACTATAGCCGTTAATTCGCTACTCACGAGTTCGTTATTCGCGTATAATTTAAATGATATTATAAAGGACTATTGACGGGACTTTTAAATTTGTTCGCTATATCCGTTTGTACGCTATATCCGTGTTCGCTATATCCATGTTCTACTGTATTTCGAAGGTTTTGTTTGTTTGTTGTTGTTTAACGCCTCACTCAGCAATATTCCAGCTATATGGCGCCGGTCTGTAAATAATTGAGTCTGGACCAGACAATCCAGCAATCAACAGCATGTATCAATCTACGAAATTGGGACACGATGACATGTGCCAACCAAGTCAGTGTGCCTGACCAGCTGATCCCGATCTTGACGGGTCATATTTCAAATGTAAAGTACTCACCTTGTCATTATATTGTTTATTCGTCTTTGCTAAAGCCTTTAATTTGTCATCTGAAAAAGAAAACAAGTTCTTAAGTGATGTGGTGAATCTTGATCAATAAATAACACTGGATAGTGATAATTTGGACGATTCTGGGATACACATTTTCAGACATGTTTGATGCATTGAAGACTGATGACCCCTGCAAATATGACATGAAATGCTGCTCGCCAACACTCTACTTTCTACAGCTATTGGTTATTTTATTCACGTGGAACAAAACCAGCAGCAGCAATGGTAAAGCACATTACTGCACATGCACTGCATGCTTGAAGTACTGCAATACTTACTCACTCACTTAAATTCCATCTTAGTAATGGCAAATATAACCCTCAACATTTCACAGGGACACTTTCAAGGACTGACTGACCGAGTTTGCAATATTCCAGCAATATCACAGCAGGGGACACCAGCATTGTGATTCACACATTGTACACATGTGGGGAATCGAACCCAGGTTTTCAGAGTGAACACTTTATCCACTAGGCTACCCCACCAACCCCATACAAAGTGTAACTCTCTACAAGAGTGCTCCAGCCATGTAGATGATCAAGGCAATGAAGCTGAGTGCGGGGTAAAACTAAACTCACTCACTCACTCACTCACTCAAGGCAATGAAAGTGCGTTTTACGCCGCTTTTAGCAATATTCCAGCATAATCACAGCAGGGGACACCAGAAATGGGCTTCACACATTGTGCCAATGTGGGGAATCGAACCCGGGTCTTCGGTGTGATGAGCCTACGCTTTAACCACTAGGCTACCCCACCGCCCCAGCATTTCAAGGATGCATCAATGTAATACTATGAACTGAATCTCTATCAAACATAGATGTGTGATATACATGTCACAATGGTCATCTGTACTGGTCACTAGTGTTGGGAATTGGATAAAATCTCGAAATTTTCCTGGTTATTTTTGTTTATGCACAAAAAATAAAGAATATACATGAAGTTCCTTGGGGTGATTTTTGCAAATTGCACAGCTTTAAAGGATGACTAGTATGTTAGGAACATAAATTTCTTGTCGTCTTCAAAATAAATTCAGTTGTGACTTGGAACGAGCATGTAGTGTTCATGAAATGTAACAGACTAATCAACCGTGTGAAAAATATTGTTAATGCAAAAAGTGTTTTTCAATTAATCGGACCACCACTACTGGTCACTGAGACATCCTTGTGGGCCACTGCCAGCCTGGCAAGCAGATCTGTTTTCACAAAGAGGTAGGTGAATGATTGAGTTGTGTGTCACACTGAATGACACATAGATGGTTTATTACAGAAGGCAAGTCATATATTTGTCACCAGTGTCACATAACTGATAGAGCCAATGGTTTATTATCAGGGAGAAGCTGATGAACTGTGGTGCTGTTTGACTGTATGTCACTCCTTTGGGTTGATCTGCTGAACCTGCTGGTGTGTGCTTATCCTTCTAGTGGATCTGTCGAACATGTTGGTATGTGTGCTTACCCTCCTAGTGGATCTCCTTACACTGCTTCTGAGTGCTTACCCTCCTAGTGGATCTCCTTACACTGCTTCTGAGTGCTTACCCTCCTAGTGGATCTCCTTACACTGCTTCTTAGTGGATCTCCTTACACTGCTTCTGAGTGCTTACCCTCCTAGTGGATCTCCTTACACTGCTTCTGAGTGCTTACCCTCCTAGTGGATCTCCTTACACTGCTTCTGAGTGCTTACCCTCCTAGTGGATCTCCTTACACTGCTTCTGAGTGATTACCCCCTAGTGGATCTCCTTACACTGCTTCTGTGTGCTTACCCTCCTAGTGGATCTGCTTACCCTGCTTCTGAGTGCTTACCCTCCTAGTGGATCTCCTTACACTGCTTCTGAGTGATTACCCAGCTAGTGGATCTCCTTACACTGCTTCTGAGTGCTTACCCCCTAGTGGATCTCCTTACACTGCTTCTGAGTGCTTACCCTCCTAGTGGATCTGCTTACACTGCTTCTGTGTGCTTACCTTCCTAGTGGATCTCCTTACACTGCTTCTGAGTGCTTACCCTGCTTCTGTGTGCTTACCCTGCTGCTCCTCAGCCCCTGCTTCTGTGTGCTTTCTATTGTGATCTCCCTTACCCTTCTACCCTGAGTTCTAGTGGATCTCCTCACCCTGCTTCTGTGTGCTTACCCTCCTAGTGGATCTTACCCTGCTTCTGTGTGCTTACCTTCCCTTACACTGCTTCTGAGTGCTTACCCTCCTAGTGGATCTCCTAGTGGATCTCCTTACACTGCTTCTGTGTGCTTACCTCCTAGTGGATCTCCTTACCCCCCTGCTTCTCTTAGTGGATCTGCTTACCCTCCTTGTTGATCTAGCTTACACTGCTTCTGTGTGCTTACCCTCCTAGTGGATCTCCTTACCCTGCTTCTGTGTGCTTACCCTCCTAGTGGATCTGCTTACACTGCTTCTGTGTGCTTACCCTCCTAGTGGACTGCTCCTGTGTGCTTACCTTCTCCTTACCCTGCTTGTGTGTGCTTACCCTCTTAGTGGATCTGCTTCTTACCCTGCTTCTGCTCCTGTGTGCTTACCTCCTAGTGGATCTCCTTACCCTGCCCTGCTTATGTGTGCTTACCCTATTAGTGGACCTCCTTACCCTGCTTCTGAGTACTTACCGCCCTAGTGGATCTCCTTACCCTGCTTCTGTGTGCTTACCCTCCTAGTGGATCTCCTTACACTGCTTCTGAGTGCTTACCCTCCTAGTGGATCTCCTTACACTGCTTCTGTGTGCTTACCCTCCTAGTGGATCTGCTTACCCTGCTTCTGTGTGCTTACCTCCTAGCGGATCTCCTTACCCTGCTTATGTGTGTTAACCCTATTAGTGGACCTCCTTACCCTGCTTCTGAGTACTTACCGCCCTAGTGGATATCCTTACCCTGCTTCTGTGTGCTTACCCTCCTAGTGGATCTGCTTACACTGCTTCTGTGTGCTTACCCTCCTAGTGGATCTCCTTACACTGCTCCTGTGTGCTTACCTTCCTTGTGGATCTGCTTACCCTGCTTCTGTGTGCTTACCCTATTAGTGGATCTCCTTACACTGCTCCTGTGTGCTTACCTTCCTTGTGGATCTGCTTACCCTGCTTCTGTGTGCTTACCCTATTAGTGGATCTCCTTACCCTGCTTCTGAGTGCTTACCTGCTAGTGGATCTCCTTACACTGCTTCTGTGTGCTTACCCTATTAGTGGATCCCCTTACCCTGCTTCTGAGTGCTTACCCTCCTAGTGGATCTCCTTACCCTGCTTCTGTGTGCTTACCCTGCTAGTGGATCTCTTTACACTGCTTCTGATTGCTTACCCTGCTAATGGATCTCCTTACATTGCCTCTGAGTGCTTACCCTCCTAGTGGATCTGCTTACACTGCTTCTGTGTGCTTACCCTGCTAGTGGATCTGCTTACCCTGCTTCTGAGTGCTTACCCTGCTAATGCCTTACATTGCCTCTGAGTGCTTACCCTGCTTATGGATCTCCTTACCCTGCTTCTGTGTGTTTACCCTGCTAATGCCTTACATTGCCTCTGAGTGCTTACCCTATTAGTGGATCTCCTTACCCTGCTTCTGTGTGCTTTCCCTGCTAGTGGATCTCCTTACCCTGCTTCTGAATGCCTACCCTGCTAGTGGATCTCCTTACCCTGCTTCTGTGTGCTTACCCTATTTGTGGATCTGCTTACCCTGCTTGTGTGCTTACCCTATTAATGGATCTCCTTACCCTGCTTCTGAGTGCTTACCCTGCTAGTTGATCTGCTTACTCTGCTTCTGTGTGCTTACCCAACTGTGTGGATCTGCTTACCCTGCTTGTGTTGGTGCTTATCCTTCATGTGTGAATGCTTAACTTGCTTGTTTGTGTGCTTACCTTGCTAGTGTATGTGCGTACCCTGTTAGTGTGTACTTACTCTGCTGGTGTGTACTTTCTCTGCTGGTTTGTGTGATGCTAGTGTGTGCTTAGTCTGTTGCTGTGTGTGCTTGTCCTGCTCTTGTGTGTGTGCGCTTACCATGCTGGTAGACTGGCTTATCTGTATGCATCATAAAATGTCTCCCTCTGTTCTAAATTTAAAAACAATGACAACTCATGTCTTGTCTTTGGGATCTAACTGGTGACTAGACCAAAACTTGTGGGACTTCTTTTTCAGATATTTATTCTTTCCATCAATAATCTTGTTAGACTGAAAGACATGTTGATAGACATGGGGATCAGACATGTAACTCAAGTTGCAGTTGTTGTAAAATTGCTGACTGGAATGTGAATCTATTCACCCTCTCTCCTGGTGCAGGTAAACATCCACATTCAGAAAGTTGCTTGACTCTGTCATCATCATCATCCAGCCATTGGAGCATGGCATCTAGAGTGATAGTTTAGTAAAACACTGCGTGTAGCGAAAAGTCCAGCAACAATCAGTTCCACCCACTGTGTCCCATACTAGTCCTACTATCATCAGTAGATAATTCTGTTGCAGTACTGCAGGAATAACTGAGGCATGACGTGTTCACATCTAAGGATCCAAATGTATTACTGAGTGAGTGCATGCGTGCGTGCGTGAGTGGGGTTGGGTTCGACTCTATTTTGAACTGTCTTCCTGTTACATGTCTGCCTGACGTAGGAGGAAAGATTAAGTGATTCAGGTCTCAGAATTTAACCACTTGGGTGAAACCCAGGGACATGGCTGAGAAGCTGGAAACATAATCGTGTGAACCTGGATTCAGACATATGATCCGAGATTTCTGGCATGGCCAAGAGATGCAACTTTCCACAAAGAACTGCAGTTGTTTAAAGGAGAACTCCACCCTTCCCTTGCACTTCACTGAGAGCAACTGAAGTGTGGAGTCAGACTGTGGATCACCAAGGTAACTCTTATAGCTTTCTGATTATTGGACATCTGATATAACATCTTGAGAAAGAGACAGGACTGCCATAGTGAAAAATGCTCCCACCAAACCTGCTGAATAAATAATCTCGAGGAAAGTCAAATGATATTTGTTACTGAGTATTTCTTTCAAAACTGAAGGGGAATGAGGATTA